TATTAATCAAATAAAATAATAAATGTATTTTATTTAAACAGGTTACTCTTAAAATCAGGCCTTACAAATCAAAACTTTTAACACTTAAGTGCATGTAGTTGCTATTTGGTAACATACTCATATTTAGTCATGTAAATAAAATCAAAGCAAAATTTTAGCTTACTGCATAGTGTAACCAATTGGATGCATAGTGTTTATGCATACGTTTTTGAAAGTTTCAGTGTAACACCAACGGTGTAATGGTCATTATCGTGAGTTGATGTGTAAGGTGTGGATATCATTTGTGTTTACGAATTTTGGCTTTGTGTTTGTTGTTATTTTTGATGTATTAAAAATTTTAAGATTGTTTGAACAAGTTTATAAGGTATGTGTTATTACAAAAAATTGTTATTACACAGTTGCGTATCATATGTTTTTGCATAATGTAGCCATTGGGGAACAATAATATTTTTTTCAAAAACGTGAATAAAAACTTTAGATTTTTTTAATATTTTTCTTATTTTATTTGATATCAATTATAATGTATTTTTGGCATAAATTAAAAACATTCATGCATTTAAGGGTTAAAATAATATACTGAGCCAGTTGAATAAGACTGAGATAAATACATTGAGCCAGATAAAAATGTATTCCAGTATTATTAATAGCAATTAACAGAAACTCTTAGTTGCAAACTTTGATGAGATAGATAGATTGTACTAAAATTTCAGTGAACTCACATCAGGCAAGCGAATGTCAATTTTATGAACTTTGAGTTTCACTATTAGAAATACTTTTGCCTATATGATTGTTCAATCTCTTTCCACAAAATAATTTGAAACTTCATCATTATCGAAATTATTGTCAATGGTTTCCTTATTTTGTTCTTCATTTGAATCAGATTTTAAATCACTTCTTCACCGATTTTTAAATCTCTATTTATATTTCAATTTATAAATGTCTCAAAGATTTAAATCGTACATCTGCTGGCTGAAATAGCAATCTTTTCAAAGCAGATTGAAAATAAGAGCAGACGTAATCAGAAGTAGACAATGTTACGTAAATGTATTTCAGAAGAGATGTAGTAAAAGAGGTTGAAACGTTTTTTTTTTTTTTTTTTTTTTTTTTTTTTTTAATTTTAATTTTAATTTTTTTTTTTTTTCGAAGCTGACTTCGCCCCCCGCTAGCTGTTTTCGCGTACTAGACAAAACTAATAAAAATGAGTTATCAGTGAGGTTATTGTAATAATAATATGAGGTTTATTGTAAATTATAATAAAGAGGTTTATTGTAATTTTCAAATGCTTATTACAAATAATTAGTAAATAAATTAATAATAATAACAAATTAACAAATAAATTTTTATTTTAAATAATGTAATTAATTAACAAATTTATTTGTTAATTTATTATGGAAAAGAACACGAGGGCTCCGCCTTCGTGGAAGGCTTTTTAAGTTGGCTCGTAATCAAGTTAAACATAAGGAAATCTGCAAATTCTCATGTAGCTAACCTGTTGATAATCATTTGAACATGGATCGAAAAGTTAATGCTCCAGTGTCATCAGCCACTTGTTGTTTCGCGTAGAAAAAAGAATTTTTTCCATATCGAAAGCAAGAGAAAATACAGATACTTGGCTTGTGTTCTTACGAAACCCACCGCTTGGATTTCCGTTATTACAAAATCTCACTAATCCCAGTAAATATCTCATAAAAGTAATGTCAGTTTCCCCTCTAATGTTCAAACTGAAATTACTTATTCTGTCTTATCAGCAAATCAAGTCCTGTATTTTAATCATTTGCGTTCGAAAGTCGAAAGGCATGCGATGTAGGATAAAATGCTTCAGAATAGATAGCGTACTGAAATTTACAAAGCTTTTGAACCACTGATATGTTAAAAATGGCAACATGAATTTTCCTTTAGAATCGAAGTTAACAACATGCTTTGAGGATGTGGATAAAGTTGTAATAAATGAGCTGTTTATTGTGTTTACATATTATCCTAGAGATAGATTTGAGTCTGTATAGTTAAGTTATTTTTGAACAGAGGTTTTCGGATTAACATAAAGAGTGTTTCTGACCTGCGCGTGCCCGCTACATTTAGTCTCTGCCAGCTCTGATAGTTGTAAATATCCGGCTTTGCGTTATGTTGCGGTTGACACTTGACTTTGACGCTCCCGTTAGAATTACGGAGACAGATTAGAATAAAATTTAATTATGCAGTTTTTGACTACTGTTCCGCGTTTAATTTGAAATTGACTGTCTGTTTAGTTCATTACCACAAGTTGTGACTGATATTATTAGCTAAGACACTGCATTTATATTCTAAATTTGTTTAAATAGAAAGGTTATTTAAACCCTTTCATGACTTGTATGTTACTTCAGACATAGCAATAATTTACTTCATATCTGATGTAAATTTTCCAAATCAAGTAAAACCTCATAAATTCTAAAAGAAAAAGGATGAATTTTTTTCAGCTTTTGAGAGACTTTAAGGATAGCTGTTTGCAAAAATTGTCAAGTTGCGAAAGATCTGAATTGCTTGAAAGTTTGCGAAGTGAACGAAGAAGTAACAAATACGTCTACCCGCATCAACAGAAAAGAAAAGTTGCGTTATGTTATGTTATGAAGAAGTGAGGGGGCCATCTAATATTTACCCTAAGTAAAGCAGGTATTAGCCCCACACACTAACTAGAAAACTAACAACATTCTGGCATCATTTCCCTCGAGTCGTGATGGAAATTGTGACTCCAGTGAGCACTACAAGTAGTGTCACCGTCGGCGGCATGAACGGTACTCCTAACCTTTCCGCGTTAAATTAGCTCAAGTAAGACGGAAAGAAAAGTTAAAGTCTTCTTAATTCGATGAAAAATCTTTTCAATGCAGGTGAGATATTTTTATTTTTACAGTTTTAACATACAAAACTTTTGCCTTTACAGGTGATGCGTGCAGGAATGGGACAAGAGCTCATGGAAAGATTTCAGTATTATTTAGTATTAACATGAAAGGTTCAGAGAATTTACCACTTTCATTTATAAGGAAAAGCAAATAAAAGGAAAAGGAAAAAAAAAGACTAATTTATGCGCTGTAAGGATTTCTCGCTGTGCGTTACCGATAAATATAATCTTGGTGACTGATGAAATTTGTGGAATATTGAGAATTTAACTACAAATTTTCAAGAAAGTTATGAACATTTCTTCTTGTAGTATATAATTAGATTGTTCATACTGAAATGGTTAAGTTTCAGTTGATCGGATATAGTTTGTCCCACAGAATTTTCCTCATTTCTGCAAGCTGCTAATAATCCTGACATCATTACCAGTTTTAAACGAGATTACATACTCTTGAAAAATTAACAGTCTATAAAGTAAGGCATTCCGGGAGTAACCGCACAACTGAGATCACATGAAGAATCACTTTTCAAGAAGCAAAGATTATATTAGAAAAGATATTACTCTTCTATTTTTAGAATGAAAAGTGGAGATGAAAGAGGAGTTAAAGGGCTGTTGTTAATTTATTATTAGAAAAGTAGATATCGTTCGACCTCCCCATCCGCGGCCATGAGCGCAAACACGCATGCTCTATTCGGGTCGAATTATTCTCAAAACAGGGTAGAAGAATGGGGGCTTTCATTCCAGCATATGAATTCTCTCTTTCCGGAGAAGAGAAGACTTTCACGTGACCTTTCACCTCGCAGCAAGTAATAGTGCCTCTTTTGGACGAGTCTATGTGTTTTGGCAGAATGCCAGCCAGAGTTGCGTTTCAGACGGTCGAACTATTTTATATATATTTACGTATACAGTCGAATCCGGTAAGTTGGACCACCGTATAATCGGACCAGGTCTAATAATATTCGCTTCGAAACAAATCCTATGTACATAAGCCTAATATTATTCGCTTATTTGGCCCAAAATTCCGTTTAATAAGACCAAAAAACATGACAGCGAATAAGAAACAGAAGCCACAAGTAGGCCGCGTACAGCGTATGTACAGGTGGTCTGCGACATATGGGAGGATCTGTAGCTGAGCTCCCAGGAGAATGTTTTATCAAAGGTCAGAAATTCCTTAAAGTGCATGACAAGAGCAAAACCAATGGGAGGTGAACACGCGCACCATTTTCTTTCACCTTTCTTATAACAGAGCCACCAGTAGTTGCCATCGGGGTTATCGGTGCCACTGCGTCTCCAATTTTCGAGGAAATGAACAATAGAGTGTCCGGCTCGATTTTAAAGGAATTCTCGCCTGTCAATCATGATTAAAGTTTACACGAGAAAGCTATCATTTCACCATCCTTTTGGGATGATATTAGGGCCAAATGTTTGAATGGCGAGCATTTTATCTCCCTCTTGACCTCAACATATTTGACCAAAAAACACCAAGGATTCTTCAGACCACTTTAGTCAGTGAACTGTGTGCGTGTCTTGTCTTCCGTACCAAAATGGCACGACAGGACTTGCCGTTAGCTGGTTTCCTGGATAAGATCAAGCAACAATCACGAAACACTAGTCAGGGTCGTTGGTGGAAATTACCGGATTGGCGAAGACTACAATTTCGCGCTTGAAAACGCAAGAGAATGAGCTGCGAGAAGAATGGGCAGAATGTGAAAAACGAGGAGGAATTTCCAAAAAAACGGAAGCGTGAAAGCAAGGATCCAGACGCCGATGAGGCCCTTAATGAAAGGTTTGCCATTGTTACTGGACAAGCTGTGCGAGTGAGCGGCCCAATGTTAAAATGCAAATCAGAAGAACTCGCTAAAAAGCTAGGCAACGATGACTTTAAAGCTAAAGACCGTTGGTTGTCTCGATGGAAATCTAGACATGACATAAAATTCAAGAAAGTACATGGTGAGAAAGAAAGTGCTGATAGTGCAGATACTAAAGATTAGAAATCAACAAAACTGCCCGAGATTCTAGAAAATGTTTCAGGAGATGTCATATAATGCTGATGAAACTGGGCTATATTATCGTGTCATCGGACGGCTCGTTACGTTACAAACATGTTGCACTCTATGCCTCCAAAAAAGCGATGGATCGCATAACTGTCATGCGCTGCTCAAGCATGTCAGGAACGTATAAGAGGAAACTGTTGGTTATAGCAAAAAGCACTAAGTCTCGCTGTTTTAAAGAACTAAGGATGGACAGTTTACCAGTTGTGTATCGTGCGAACAGAAATGCGTGGATGACCTCTGAGCTTTTTAAAGAATGGCTGAAGGATTGGGACAGAAAGCTACAATGCCACTCGAGAAAAGTGCTGCTTGACAATTGTGCAGCACATCCTTATTTAGATTGCTTGAAGAACATCCAACTGGAATTTCTATTACCCAGGACCACAGCTTTTGTCCAGCCAATGAACATGGGCATCATCAAAAGTTTGAAGGCCCTTTAATCGTGCAAGGTTGTTTAATCACATCTTTGAAGCATGCTGACGTCATCCTCAAAAGCCAGTGCAAAGGTCAAAGGTGCTCATTGAAAGTGAAAATAATGACGGACATGTGGAACTTCAACAAGTACAAAATTGCAAAGAAACTTTATCCATCGACACCAAACTTCAATGCTACGATGAAAATGAAGATTACGATGCTGCAATCGTTCTCGAGTTGCAGCAAAACATACAACAGCATTGGAAGACCAAGAAAGTGATGATGATGTTGCCGCTAATAAGTTGATGCAAGTGACAGCACAGAATGCGAGGAAATGCATTGAAACTTTTCGTCAGTATTTCATGCAGAAGAGAAATGAAGGCAGTCTCACTGCTGCGTGAGATGTTTGTGGCGATTTCGCTCACGCGCAATCCGTGAAGAGAACGCGTCATATCACATTGGATAAGTTCCTCAAATGCTGGATGGAATTTGGTAAGAACTTTTTTTATTGTGCTTCGCATGCTGAGTATCATCGAGATCGTTTCTTAGAATTTGTTTCTAAATTAATTTTTTCTCAATGAAAAAAGTTCGACTGTAGTTCTTGTATGTAACATGTATGTTCGCCATACATGTGTACCGCACAATAAATGTCATAAGTTATATTTTAGTACATGATTTGCATGTACATTTACTGTTTGCTACATATAGCACGCCCTGTCTTACAACATAGGACATGTTCGTGTAATCGGACCAGCCGGTTTATTAGGACCAAAAGGATCGCTTCCCGATGTGGTCCGATTAACCGGAATCGACTTTATATTGCGTGTTTGAAAATATACAGATTTCAGTTTACTAGTATTATCCAAAGAAGTTTTTACTGCTTTATATATCCACAGTATCAGGAGACTTTTTCTTGTCTTTCAACCACAATTATTTTCATGCTTTATGAATTAAAACGGCGCTTATAGTTCAAGACAACATGCTGCTTAAAAGGAAGAACATTAGATTTACATAAAATGTTCCTCAGAATTTCTCAACAATTTTTAATTTTCGACATCTTTGGGCATTATTTTCAACAATTAATTTTGCTAGCAGAGAACAGCTATTCAAAAGAGTTACTTTTACGGGACTGTTTTCTTTCCCACTTTTAGATGTCGAATGCGATGTTTCCCTCCCTCTCGCTTACGCGTGTTATTCTTCTAAGCACGGAAGATAACTTTTGCAAATGGCATTAGTCAGGTTTTCTTGACAAGAAATAGCTTTCTTTTTAAAGATGTGCTATACGTTAAGATATTAACTGTATTCAGAAAATAAATTCGAATCTTGTAATAGTCGAATATAAAAGTACAATCTCCCATTTATTATTAAAAAAAATTTCGCCTGGCAAGTTAAAGGAATACTTATATACACAGTATGCAGATATTCACATTAAAACAAATCATGCGGACATAAGGGCTGTGGAAATGTTTTAAGAAAAAGCTACTTGAACTCAATTTAAGTTTCCGATTTCTCTGCATAGGATTTAATAATACTTCAAGGGATAAGTTGGAATATTAAATACTTTCTTTCTTTTAAAACTGTAATCTTTAAACGAATTAATCAAGAAAGTGGTCTAATTTTTTTCTTTTAACAGCAAGTTTTTTTTCGTGACAAATGCTACAATAGCAAATGCGAAATGCTTAGTTTTACAGGATTTAAGTAACGCGAGACCTTTCATTACGTAGTCCAGATCTGTTGGGTCTTTTTCAAACTGAACGTAACAAATCTGTCACACCAAGTAAAGTACAAAATGTTCCTCTGCTCTCAGTTCGCCTTCTTTCTACTCTGTTCTTTAACATCTCGTGTTTTAGCTCGGTAACAGTAGCAGAATGGAAGTTTGCCGCCCACCGATCAATCAATCAATCAATCAGTCTGGAAAGCAATCTGGAAGGTACATTATTTAAGGAAATTTCGTAGCTCTTGAAAATAAGCTTCTTTTAGCCAGGGGTGTTGTTAGATTAGGCAAAAGAAAGATTTTCCTGCAAAAACTCCGGCTTTTCAGTTGACGGTCGAGGATTGTTAAAAAGCACTTTTAGTTCCCTTCAAATTTTCTTGTTCAATTACCATGAACTACAGTTTCTTTTTGTATAAGAAGAAAAGTCCACTTTCAATCAATGGTAATTATGTAGATACCCGAGAACGAAAAAAAAAAAAAAAAACTTAAGAATGTGGAGAAGGTAAAAATTTCCTGAAATAAGTTTTAAACTTAACTGAGAAATATTGTTTCTTAAACCATATTTACTTTATTTAAAAAAATGAACGAACAAATCTGAAAGCTTTCAGATTTCATATTTATAACGTATTTCTCCCGCCTTCTTAGCAGGCCTTCATAGTGTAGTGGTCAGCCCGCTGGGCACGTATTCCAGATGCCAGTGGTTCAATTCCCGGCGAAGGCGTTGCTCATTTTTCATGACTCCTGCTTCCAAAAAGTACCTAGTGTCTCTACATATTACTCACGCAGGAGCGTTGTTTTCATTTACACACACATACACGTTTCGAGACCATTTTGCAGTAATGTCCCTTTGAATTAAAATTATTTAAATGCAGTATATCTTTAAAGTTCTCGATATACAGTCTCGCTCACTGTAGCGAAAAAAAATTCTTTTTCGTACAATGTTGCCATTGCTCTCTGTGAAATTACTGAGTCTGTTAATAAAAAATTCTTTAAAGCTTTACAAAATATTAAATAGATAATAAAAAGAACTCGAAATTCTGGCTTTCAGGTACCCATGTTCGGGTGGAGGACTACGTTATATAAAATTTGAAAGTTCTACACACCGCTGTTTTTTCACATTGCAAGAAACAGACATAAGTTCATGCAGATTCTTCATTATTTATTTTCTTCAAATATAATACATGGTGATAATATTTGGTGACAACAATTTAAAAAGTTAATTGTACATTTATAGTGAACCGACGCAAAATACAGTTTCGAATCTAATAGCCCTTCTGGGCTCCGACATTATACGCTTATTCTTATAAAATGGCTTTAAAGAGAGCTTAGGAAAAGCTTTTAAAATATCTCATGATATATCTCATGATTACAAAAGCTTTTAAAATATCTCATGATATCGCTGTCTCATCGAGATTGATATTATTGATTAGAATGGGTAATGTTCTATCTAGTAAACAGAAAACTGAAGGCAGAATTTAAAAAAAAATGATCTAACACTGAAGCCCAAACAGTTATTTTTACAAGTAGCGATTATGAAGGCAGTCTGTAAATTTAAATAATTGTGAGTACTTATGTGACAGTTATGTGACCGAAAAATAACGGATGAAAGGAAGCGCTGAGTAACATGAACTTGAAGGAAATGAACTTAGAAAGATTTTACCAGACGTGACTCACATTCATACTTAAGGAGATTTGTGCAGAAGACTCGGACACCAGGACCCTTTTCTTAGAAACCTTTTCTTAGGAGATAGCGTCGAATGCTTTGCAGTATTCACGTTAAGTTAAAACCTAAGTTAAAACCTAACTTCAAATTTCATGAAACTAAAAGCATATTATAGTTCTTTTTATAGCCATAATTTTCATTTAGAAAACTGAAAATAATGTTTAATTATTATAAATTTATAGCTGTAATTATAATTAATAACTATTCTATTTCCACTGGATGTTTAAACGTAACTAACTTTAAATGTATTTGTTGCAGCACGGAATCACTGGTTTTGCAAAACTAATTTAAAATGCATTTAATTTTCTGGGGTACGAAGTAGATTTATCTCCACGTAGTGTACCCCATGCAGTGTCTTGTACGGCAAAATGAACTATAGCTCTGGTAAGAAATTTAGTTCTAAAAGCAAATTTTTAAAGATTTTACAGTGGAATGCTGATGGCTTATCGCAAGCCAAGGGACAAGAACTTCTTCCTTTATTATTATGACACTGACGTTTATACAAACATAGATGCCAATTCTGTAGCCGAAATATTTCCCATTCATACGAAATGTTTCCCATTCATACGAAATGTTTCCCATTCAAGGATTACACTATCTGTATTATATCGAAGGTTAGACAGTTTGCTTTTGACTGTAATTAAATCAAGTCTTACAGCAGTCTTCTAAAATCATTAAAATATAGGAAGGGATCATTTCGAAAGCGAGGTTGCTCTTCTTAATATCTGGGAAGCTGATAAGCATTTAAATATTTTTTTTTTTTCATTTTGCTCTCATCTTGGAATTTAACCAGATTTTTCTTTCCTTAACGTATCAAACAAATCTGTCCCCATTGGGAATTTTAAAGCACAATTCTTTTATTGGGGATATAGCAAAAGGAACCGTGCTAGTGAGGTAGTTGAAGAATTATTTAATTCCAGCTCTTTTTATTATAGTATATAATAATAAGGACCTTCACACTTATTTACATTCAAACGGTTCAAAAACGACATCACATTTATTTTTAATAAGATCACCATTTTAGTTAGGTACTCCTGCAAACGCAGAATACTTGAAAGACACTGATCCCTGCCATCGTCAGGCTTTTGCAGAGTTTGCATTCCTACTCCCTATTTCAATGGATATATTTCCACTCCCTGCCTAAGATGTCTCGAAACTTTAAGAGGCCCGATTAACATTTAAACAACTAAGAGGCCCGATTAACATTAAACATTTAAACAACTCTCGAATGAATTTGTGGGCCCTAAAAGCAGCGATCTCTCTTTGAATATAAAACCCTTATACATATTTACACGAGAGAAAATTATCATTCCTGCTAAAACAAATATTCCAAGGAGTAAGGTAAAGAAATGTAAAACTTTCTGGTCACCAGATCTGCAGGATGTAAAGCAGAAACGTGACCGGCTCAGATGACATGCTGAACGGAATGGCCGCCATAGAATGTTTTCTCTTGGAGCAGACAGGCTGCGATTTTCAAGAAAACAGTTCTTCTAGAGAAAAAAGCCTCTTGCCATGACTTCATATCAACTATTAACTTTCATAAAGATTTTTAAAAAGGCTTGTTGTTTTATTGCGTGTATTAATAATAA